CCACTGGGGGGCATTTTGTTTTTGTCTAAGACCAAAACATTTCGAGACCTGCAATAAGGTCTAACGGTCTAACCTAAAAAAAAAGAAGAAGAAGAAATGTCCCGTGATGGACAGCGGTAAATCTTCGGATTCACAACGCTAAAATCAGGTTCGATTCCCTTCGGCAAATGTTGAGATTAAATTTTTAACACCCATTGTGCCTTAACTTTTATTCACAGTAGGAGTAAAGCCCTCGAGCCGCAGGTTGCTGACCCCTGTCCTAACTATTTAAAGAAAATCGTTAATCATTACGTTTAATTAAGCAATAAATATATACACTATATAAAATATTTACGATTTATTTAAGACAATTGCCAAATTATATAATATTATTTTTTATTTTGTTATTTATACTTTATATGATATTTTTGCTACAAGACCTGTATATTTAATATTGGTAAAATATCTTACTTTTTTAAATTCAGAAAATTACATTACATCTTATTTTATTTTGCCATGTATTGGCAAATTTTTATATATCTGTAAAGTTTACAGTAGTTTATGCTTATTAATATTTTTTTACAGTTTTGATAAATTTAGTTCTAACATTAATAGATATGTGGAGTACTTTTACATGCTGTACCTTTTTCTCTTTCATCAAAAATTATATTTACTAAATTCCAATGTATAAAGTCAACTGCTCTAAACAATTAAAGACTAATCGGAATTTGTAGTATTAAAACTATGATAAGGCCAAACCACTGTTATAAAATAATGTTGATCATGCCTCTCAGCTCAATGTAGAATTCATGTATCTGATGATGAGGTATGTTATCTGAAATGTAAATAATTGGTTAAACACTTGACCAGACTTGACCTCTACCTGCTGACTCTATTTCCACACATTTAATCCTAGTGTCTTTTGTCTTTTTAACTATAATACTAAGCAGTAATGTTTACTATGTAGGGATGAGCCGAGAAAATAATGACCACCATATTAAATCTATTACTTTATGATGCTTACAAATAACTGTTAAAGTTGAATCATAGCCTTATTTGAGCATCTAATTGCCATTATCGAGTGTTTCACAGCTTGTGAGACCCCCAATATAATTGAAGTTTCTATCAAGTGTTGCTAAGGTGGAGAATTGGGAACCAGCTAAAGAGCCAAAGTGTTCATCTTTCTTTTTTCTTCTCCCTTGCTCGCCAAGAAATGAGTGAAGTTTTTGCAATAGCTTTAATACAACAGAAAAGCATTTTAATAGTACTTGATAATAGATTATCGCTAAGCACGGCAGTGCTTCATGTGTAGGGATATATCGAGAAAATAATGGCTGCCGCATTAAATCTATTATTCTATGATGCTTACAAATAACTGTTCAAGATGAGTTATAGCCTTATCTGAGCACCTAATTCACACTGTCGAGTGTTTCGCAGCTTGTATAATAGTAATATTATTCTGTTTTTCTGTCACGCGTAGTTTTGTGGATAATAAAATGAAAACTACCACTTAGCAGTGAACTCAGTTTATAAGCATATATTATTTCCATGTTTCCTAAATAAAAGTTCCATTTCTGGTCGCTAGATGGTAGAACAAGTTGTTCTTACACAACAACGTTTGTGACTTTTTATTCCACAAACATGATATCTGCAAAAATAATTTCAGTAAAAATAAACATAGAAGGAAAGAATATTCTAAATCAATGTTCAAAGGATCAAGGAAATCATGTATTTATGCAACTGACAAATCTTCAGACATGTTATTGATGTGTGAGTTTAAAAACACCAGTTTTTTAATTATTAAAACAATACATTGTATAGAGTTGTACTTTTCTTCAAATTTTCATTAGGGCCAAGCCTAGCAATTGTGTGTATATGCATGGTATCACATTTCATGGCCTGGTATTTTTATAATATCCTCCATATTAATTGATATGACCCTCGCAGATGGTGAAGTCAATTGTATCCACATGCAGTGAGTTTAACATCAGTTCAGCAATCCTGTGTACTTGTACCATCTTGGAGGAACCATTACAGGTTTACTGGCCCCCAGAGTAATCCAAAATCAGTGAAACTGATATTATATTATCAATATATATATTACCATTGAACCACTTTCAAAACAATGGTAAAGCTGCACGACCACATGGTCAAGACAGACCTTCATCCACAACACTGCATAGACAAATGCAAGTCATAATGTTCCTGCTTTGAAACTGTAATAGATATTAGCTGCAAATGGATACCTTTATAAATTAAATTTTATAATGTGGGATACTAAGAGAAAAAGAGCACAAGAACGGAAACTTGTTCATACTTTCGAAGTTTTCATGCTTTGGCCATTGTGTCCAGTATTAATATAGGTGATCAATAAAAATGTAAGAGACACTACTATGAATTTTATAAAATAAAAGTTTTATAAATAATGGGACATCAAGGGGTCCATTGGCCAATCAACAAACAGAAAATTAATCTCCCAATCTAGTCCTGATCCCCCAAAATTTAGCAACTGTATTTTAAAACTCCTGTAAAGTTGTAGATGGCAGTTTGTTGGGTAAATTAAATCACATCAACTAAAAAATAAAGGACAGATTTTTTTTATTCTTTTTACTCATGAGTGGACATGCAAGATGACTGAAGTTATATTTAACTCAGGACGAATTATACAGGAGGAAATAGTACACTGTTTGGGTATAGCTCTTGTTCAAGTCCTGACAGGTCTGAAATTACTTACCATATCTTGGTATTAGTTATGAAACATTATGAAAATAAAATTGTTAAAAAATTTAAAAAGTCATATTTTAATAAGTATAATTGTAGTACTACTAGTAGATCAATATTGATTATTTGAAAATGAAATGTGAAATGGTAGCTTATATTCAAAGGTTTTTTCATTTATTTCACATGTGAAAGCTGAAAACCATAACTTATCTTTCACTACAGGGTGATCCTGGGATTAATGGATTGCAAGGTATTAGAGGAAATCAGGTAAAAGTGTGTTTTTGTTAACCAGAATTATTTTGATGTGTGTGTATATATATATACATAATCTCTTGTCTGGAAATGGTAGTGTAGCAGAATGATACTTCAAATTTAATGGAAAATAGGAGACAAGAAAATTATTAAAATAATTTTGTACCTCACAAATTTGTGAGAAAAAGTTAAATTTCCAACAGAAGTAGTATCTTTGCCTACTGATAGTGAATTTAAGTGAATTTGTTTCTTATTAGCTAACAAAGTATGAAACTATTTCTAGTTGTGAATATTTAACTCATTATATTGGTCTATTTTCAATACATAATTCTGATTTCATATATTTAGTTTTGCATGCTATATTTACATATTTATATATATACTAAAAAGTTAAAAAACATTTTAGTATGTACAGATATGTAAATAATTGTTTTGCCCACACAATATTTATAATGGTCTGATTTTTGAAGAGCACTTATTTATTCTATATATAAAATTAATTTATAATTGAAATTGGTTTTTATATTTTTTAAATCTAATCTAGGGCAAACCTGGCATTGAAGGTTCTCAAGGAGATTCTGGTCTTCCTGGCAGAGATGGATATGATGTAAGATTAAAATATACTTAGTTTTCTTTATATATTAATACAAAGCTATTTACAATACTTTGCTATAATAGGAAACTTTGAATGCAACTAGCATGTTACAATACAGATTTCATTGGTATTTCTGACTTGAGTAAATTAAGATAGGAAGATGTGAATGCATTCATAAAATATGAATGGTAATTTTGTTGGTTAAAAGTAAGTTTAAATATTAAAATGAAGTGATATCACTGATATTTGAAAACAAATTCTATAGAGATTGTGTTTGTCTGGGGTTTGTAGAGAAAGGGGCAGGGATGTTATTGGCATTTTCTACATATATAGGCTGTATGATCAGCCAATGGTTGACATTGATAGGAATGTCTAAAGACAGTCTTTAATATTATTAGAGACTTTAATTTGAAGGAAATTTATTGCTTTAAGCTGAATCTTTTATTTCAGGTTGTGAAGTGTTGTTGCATTATTCATAATGTTATAGATTCTGCAAGGAAAGATTGTGTTTAATCTGTTTAATACCACGTTCTTCGTAACAGACAACAAGGGATAACATGATCCTTCAATATTATCCTCGTACATTCACTTTTAAGAAAAAAAAAAAGTTAAACCCAACATTTATTTTTTTAGAAAAATTACCACTTTCCTCCTTGTCAAGTGCTGGCCTCCACTACTGTCGATGATAAATTATTCCATAAACAAATCCCTGTTTAGAGAAATAAAACCTTCTTAACTGAAGCCTAGCTTGTCTTTTCTAAATCGTAAACTTATGTACTCTTGTGCTATTGTCTTGAAAATACAGCATAAAAAAATCAGAGTCATTTATTCTATTAATTCTCTGGATAATCTTGTAAATTTTGAAGAGAAAATAAGTTAAGAGATATTAATCTATCTCTGTATAAGATAATTCTTATGTTTTTAGAATTAACCTAAGAAAAGTGTGGTTACATTAGCTTGTGGAATGACTTGTTTGATGAGAGTAGAATTGAAATATAATATTCTTGTTTACATGTTCAAGAGAAGATTAACTCTTTACATATTAACTTTTAAAAACATTTGCACCACCCATTTATTTAGATATGACGTGCAACTCAAGAGAGAAATAATACAGAGGATTATAAACTAAGTAAAAACAATTGTACAGAAATAATATCTGAATATACATGACTGAATATATATTTTTTTCAAATTGAGAGTTGACAGAACATCACAGTTCTGGCTTCAAATGATTTAGTGGTAGGCTGTAATTTTATATACTTGTAAGCCACTTTTTACTTTTACACCTTATGTACATTAGCTATTTATCTATATAACAAAGTTCTACTGTGTGATAATTTGTTTGTCAGAACTATTCTATTACTAAATAAGTCACATATAAGTACACATTTATGTATCAGTTTATCAGTGCATATTTCTTTTTAAAATTGACCATAACTATTTTAGTCAGTTACAAGTTTTACTGAAATTTTGATTACATATTTTTGCAAAATGAAATTTGTTAAGTAGTTTTTTTTTATAGGGAAAACCTGGTATACCTGGACAACCTGGGTATGGTGGAAAAATAGGTTATTCTGGACCTCCTGGACCAAAAGGATATCAAGTAAGTATATACAGTCTAACTTCTGATAATAATTATAAAGCTAGATAAAATGATATATAAATTGATAATTAGAATATTATAGACAATCATAACTTACATCAATATTATAATTTATTGTAATAATGTTCCTAGTTTGTTACATACATTGTGTCACTGTATGAATATATAGTAACATTTTATTGTAGAAGACCACATAAATCAGACAATTATCATAATTAAACTAAAAAAAATGACTATTTCATTACTCTTAACTATTCATACTACATCTGAGCATAATTTTGTCTTCTCCATCACATGGCATTCTTCTCTCAGGTTCAACCATATTTCTTTTGTGCATCCACTGTCCTCTCTTATATCTTGCCTGGCTATTTCCCCCTCCATACCCACTGGGCTGTATATATTCTGAACAACTCCAGGACATTGAAGCTTACTTAATCTGGGTTGACTAAGGTCAGGTTGATTTAATTTTACACTTGTTGGAACCAAATCATTTCCAGTATGTCTTGTTCCTATTGCAAAGTCTGTTAAAACTATAATACAGATATAACATTATGCTATCATCACACACAATATAGAGGGTTGAGTACATCATATTCAAATGATTTTAAATATGCAAATCAGCAAGTCAAGCGACATCCACAATCAATGTAAAGTTACAGTGAATGGTATGTATCAGAACTACATTTTTAACATTGCTTGGCACTTAAGGGGTAAGTTTGATGTTATCAAAAGTTAAATGCTCTTGGAAAGGATGTGCAAAAGTAATTTCCAACATAAAATATTCATACTTTCAAATCTGATTATGGACTTAGAATTTCCAAGAGAGAGTTATCCCTTGTATTTTTATTGGAAAACAAAGTATTTTGGATCATCTTGGGGAACCAAGACCTGCAATATGTCCCATGCCATCCATGGTAAGCAAAGTGCTGTATCTTCTAACATATAAGAATCCACAAACACAAATGTTAGTTGTAAAAGCTGTGCACATGTCCCAGTAGACAACATAAAAAGATGGATCTCCATCTGAAAAAGTGACACAAGTCACATATTTACAAGTTTCTATCATGACATATTCATTCAACCACCACATACTTCAAGTAACTGGAGAATGAAACAGCTATTCATGTTATTCCATATACAGACATACTTGTCAAGTCACCATGGAGATAGTTCTTACAGATGTCTATTAAAAATGAGCTCTAGGAAACTGTTGACCTTGTATATTTGATGGCTTATGGAACCCTATAGGAAGGATGGGTGTGCTTCAGACATGTCAGCCTTTTGCAATGGAAACTATGCTGCAGGACTCTTGTCAATTTACATTATTGTCTGATAAAACAGAGCCATGTATGGCAACATGAACTGCAACGACATAATGAGGCTACAAAATTGTTGTAGTATAATGTACTTCACCTCGGTAGCAATATTTTTGTGTTATTATAAAGGTGTTTTTTTATAAATTGGAGAAGAGAATTTCTGAAACTTTCTCAGCACATCAGTATGTAAGTTAATTAAGTTGTTTGCTCTCCACAATTCCTTTCTGTCAAGATATAATTTAGAATAGTATTTGTAGAGCATCCCATAGTTAAGCAGCCGTGATATTATGTGGTGTTCTGAATGTATTTTATTTTGTGCTATTTTACATCTTTTCATCTTGAACAAGTGAAAAACCCTTAAAATTAATAACTGTAATATTTTCAAAACTTAACCAGTTATGATGAAAGAAGTTAGGTAATTTTATTTATTTCTTTAATTATTAATATCTTTAAATGAAAGGAATTACATGTATTAAAAGTAAAAAATAAATTATTAGCTTTTGAAAAAATTAAGTTTAGTGTATAATACATTGGAATTATTGTACAGTGATTGATTTAGTTATTTAAATTTGATACTAGTTCATCTAACATTTTGCAAAAGCATGTGAATCTGTGTGATCATAGATATGCATATAATTGTGTTTCTTTATGTCTGGTCTTTTGTGAATAACTTCATTTAGAATGTAAGTCTGATCATGAAAATAAAAGTTTATCTTTAATTTCCCTACTGTTAACATAAGTATGCTTCTAGTAAGAGCCTGAGGTAAAATTTGACTAATTATGTACACATAACATGCATATCTATTGTTAATGCTGAGCAAAATGTAGATGCTCAAAAATATGTGTATATTACACTTGGTTGCCATACTATTCATGTGTGCACAAGATAAGGAGCTTATACATATATGTGAAGCCAAAAGCATTATACCACTGAATAGCACTAGTGCCTTTGTACTTCATGTAACTCATTATTCAAATACCATATGGCAAGCAATTGTAGTAGATCCTAGTTTCAGAGGGAGGAGATTCATCAAATGCAGCTGTCATAGTTGTCAGTGATAAAATATACTAGAAGTTGTTTAAAAATTCCTGTTTCAGTAATTAAAGCATAGAAATCAGCTAAAATTGTTAATTATATGCATTTTAATAATTATGAACTGAAGTATAGTTTTAAAACATCATGTTAAATTGGAAGTTACATATTATTATAAATATGATGAATAGCATAAAATGGTTATTTTTTATCATTTTGATTTTGAAACAATACAAACAAAAAAGATTAATAAAGTGGGAAATATATATATATACACAATATTTGATGCTATCTTTTTATAGGGTGATCCTGGTGATGGGGGAATATATTCAACAGGTGTGAAAGGTGAACCTGGGGTACCTGGCCTTCCTGGACTTCCTGTAAGTTTTTTGTTCTTGTAATTAGAATTTTATGGGCATTATTTAATCATATATAAGATTGAAGTTGTACATTTAATTTTTACAGGTTTACATCAGACTGATTGAAAGAACAACTTCATTTTTTAGTATATCTGTCAAATATTTTTGAGTCTGCTCAGAACACTTTTGTGATAATTGTCCAATCTATTTACTACTGTCTCACAGAGGCTTGTAAAAAAAAACGTTCTAAAGACATCACCTAAAATGAGGTGTACAGATGTAATGTGCTTTTCTTGAAGAAAACTACTAAATTGGTCTGACAAACTAACAGAGTTTTTTCATACAGATTAATGTCATATGAAGAGACAAAAGATCTGAGGGTTGTTTAATGTGTTTATTCTATTAGCATTTAAATCTTTTATTGTTTGCAACACAGAGATCACAATATTGCTATTTAAGGGATAAAATGTTAACTTAAGGTTCAATGTTTTTAGAAATGTGCAGCTTATAACTGCAAATACTGATATATATAAGTTCTAGATTAATTCTAATCACTAAAGACATCACAGATTTCAGCTGATCACAAATATATTTTGAACTGATAAAAGCTATTAGTACAGTGTTTATTAATTTTTAATGCAATTAATATTGAACTGATGTTTTTTTTTTTTTTTACAATTAATGAAATCACTGAGTATAAAAACACTGCACAAACACTCTTTGAATTAGTAATAAATATATTGCACCAGTTTATTAAATTAACCTCAGATTACCTTTATGTGCAGTACCTGTTTATTATTCACCTTTGGGAGAACTGTAAGTTGTCCTTTATCTACATGTTCATTATATTTATTCAGTATATGGTTCTTAACACTGGAAGATGATACACATTTAAAATTTGCATATACTTTTGTGTAAATTTATAACCAGCGGTAGGTACCGTATAACCTAAAGAACATTAATGACCTTGATATTCATGTACTATATTTGAAGCTTCAAATATAGATATGTAATCTTCAAACATGAAAAATTCTATAATCTACATTCAGGTCTAAAGACACATAACTTATATAATTGATTTATAATTAAAATAACCCATTTACATGTATATGGCAATATTAAAGATATATTTTGGTTAGCTACATTCCAATTTGTCAGTGTAGGAATGCTTACGTTATTTAAGTAGTTACAAATAATATGAAATGTAAAAGAAAAAATAGTGGTCACAACTATATGATGATTTACTTATAACCCAAATACTGGCTCACAACTATATGATGATTTACTTATAACCCAAATACTGGCTCACAACTATATGATGATTTACTTATAACCCAAATACTGGCTCACAACTATATGATGATTTACTTATAACCCAAATACTGGCTCACAACTATATGATGATTTACTTATAACCCAAATATTGGCTCACAACTATATGATGATTTACTTATAACCCAAATACTGGCTGATATTATTGGTGAAATGATAAATTGGTTAAGTCCTAGTTTGTCGTTATTAAAATAATGTCTTCAGGAAACATAAAAGTAAATTTGAAGCAGCCTATACATATATCTGTTGAGTCTCATTGCTGTATATTTATGATTGTTATTGAGTATTTAAATACTACTCTTCAGTTTCTGTTACTTATGGCTATACATTAATGAAAGAAACTTTAAATAGCCATATTCATTAATTTTGGTTATTATGGTAATTTCATGAAGTATAACAGAAAATAATTTTGCTACTTCTTACCAGGGCCCTCCTGGATATGATGGTTACCAAGGTGAAAAAGGTTTCATAGGAATAGAAGGTCCAGAAGTAAGTATAATTTTGATTTCTTAAATATAAGTAAAGTATCTGATGAAAGCATGGGTTGAGCTTTCAGAATTTCCTTAAATTTGTAGTTCTGGAAAATGTTTTGGAAAAGCATTGGTTTACAAAACATTGTTTTTATTTAATAAAATTGATCTGTATAAAAATATATAGTATAAAAAAAAATGTTAAAGTTGCCTCTTGCTGTGTGTGTTATACACACATAATATTTCTTTTTAATTACAAAAAAGAAGAAAGATTAACTTTACAACTATTACTATATGGTATACATACACAACAATTGAACACTATTGGGTGTGAATTGAGTGAACTTCATTCATTATTACATATTTTCATAATGTTATTTTTTTCACACCTGGTCTAGGTAACCAGAATTCTTGTTTTAATAGAATAAACTACAGAGCCAAGATAACCAAAATACTTTGTAAATCATGGAGAAAACAACAAATTAGAATAAAGTATTGAAAAATAAGCATAAATTTCTACATTGTGAAACAAAAAGAAAACTCAACACTTAAGGGTTTTGAAGGGTGTGATTAAAAGAACATTAATGTTCTGCTGTTAATTAGAACTTAAAGTCTAAAAAGAAGAAACCAATAGGCAACTTTGATAGTCATACTGAGCATGATTTTTTTGTTGAAAATTTTTATAAATTTCTATCGTTAAAATTGTTTTCCACTCACTTTAACAGCTGAAAATTTTGTAATTAATGTTTATTCACAATAAGATAATTAATTTATTTCTGGTTGAACTGGTTTTGAATTTCAATCCTAATTGCATGCTACCACCCCACCAAACAGCCTGCTCTCCTGTTTATTTGTACATCATTCTCATCTTATAGAGTAGTTCTTTACTCACTTAGAAGCTGTATATTTCTTTACAGCCAGTGAAGTAGCTGTGTTGGTACATGTCAGTAAAGTTACTGCCCTCTTCAGTTATTATGAGTTGGTCTGTGTTTCACTATCTTAGGCAATGAGAGGTTTCATGAGCCATTTATGTAGTATAATTATCTTTATGCAGCTGTTGTGTGCAGTGCATTGTATATTGATGTCATAAAACAAAAGGCATTGATTATATACTCAATGAATAAATTTGTATTCTCACCAGCTTTTCCTCACATTTAGTATTATTAATAAATGTATATATCTTCTGGTAGTGTTTGGCCATTAGACACCAAAAAAGTACAGTTTTCATTTTAGCAACTAGTAATTGACTAAAATACAAATAAATGGAAACTTTTAATTAAATATAAATTACCATGTATTGTGTATTCAAGACCTAAACATATTCTTATCTGGATGGTACTGTATTCTTGAGAAAACTGCTTGAGAACTGGAAAGAAAATAACATTAGCAAAATTTGAAATTATCATTAACTCTGAAAATTTTATCCTACAGGGTAGAAAGCAATTTATTTAAATACCTCAGTTGAGATGTAATAGGGGTCTAAATTTCCGAAATTCCCATTACCTGCTGTAAATAATATTCCTACACAAGGGTGACCTTAAGAATCAAGGACAAGGTGTCAAACCTTGAATAACATCTTTCAAAATTTTTCAGTGATGGTAAAACAGAAAGAAACGATTGATCTCAAGAAAAACTAGAGATTTAAAAGAGGTGTTTATTATGAAGTAGTTCTGAGTCCTCTGAATAATTGTGTTTGTGAGAAGGAAATAAAGAAACTGAAACACAATTGTACAAAAATATAATAAATAATTTTTATTTAATATGCACAAAACCAGTGTGTGTACTTACTTATAGATGATAAATGTTTTTTTTATTGGATCATAAACTGTTCTCTCTCTCCAAATTGCCTTGGTTGAGATCTTATTTCAGACTGACTAAACCTGACATTACTTAGTTAAATGGTAATTAAACAGCAACAAATAACTTACCCAGAGCAACAAGCACTATCCATGTGACTGCTTATTCTCAGTCAAATATGAGAGAGGTTGTAACCTCAGATTATTGCCTGACCTACCATTGGAGGACTCTGAAGTTGACATTCATGCACAAGGTGCAACTTCACTGCCATACTCCCATGAGTAGGCCAGATGTTATCTCAAGGAAGTGACAAACAACAAAGGTAACTAGAACAAAAGCAACTTAATGACTTTCTTGACCACATTTTAAGAGGATGTGGATATTCCTAGAACAACTGATTAATCTCAAAAAATTATAAATTAAAACAAGGATGTATATGACAATATTAAATTAAATGTCATACTTTTCCTTGTATCCTAAGATTACTATTATTCCCCTTAATTAAAATAAGCTGCCTTTCTTCCAGTGTTGCCTTGGTAAAATCACTTTATTCAAGTAAAACATTTGTTCCAGCTTTTTACAGGATTTACATATGAGTATTATAGACATTTCACTGGAATTTAAGATTATGTTTGATTTTTTAACAGCAAATTTTGTAGATCAGAAACAGAGATAGTGATATATATATAAATAACTTTGACCCATCTATGGAATTTTTTTTTATAGGATTTTATCTTAAGGGAAAAAAAAAATTGTTTTCTATACTTTTCTCATTTTCATCAAGTTTTCAATGAAATAACACCTTACACAAATTTTAAGTTCAAGTAGGTTATGAGGAACAAAAAGATTGCTTAAGAATGCTCATTGATCAAATGCTAACCTCTTTTCCTTGCTTTTTATCAGTTGATCCAGTCAGACTGAAAATAATAATATATATATATATCCCTTCAACCAGAACAGTACAATGTACTGAGTTTATAAATTGGAAGTGGTAGGATTAAATTACTTTTTTATATGGGAATTCAGAAACTATATTAGATGGCTTGAATAAAACTTGGACAGAATTAAATGTGGTCTTATGATGAAACAATCCAAGCTAGTTAAAATCAGGGTATTAAAACATTCATTATTTCATAAATAGTGAAAACAAAACTTAAGTTCAAAAAAGAAATGTACATGCAAACCCTGCATAAGTTGTTGGACACCAGGTCAGGGATATCAGGTAAGTGTACAAAATTATTTGTTTTTAATGATATATGGATTTTTATTTTCTTATTTTCATGCATAGGTTATGAACTATCCTAATAAAGCCTTTTTTTTTCTTCATTTCTGTCTAGGGAATTAAAGGTCCACGTGGTTTTCCAGGACTTAAGGGAAAAGGTGGAAGAGTGAATATTGGACCAAAAGGTGAAAAAGTAAGTATGAATCACTTAAGTTTTTAAACCACTAATGCATTTCAAGTAAATTTGATAAAGTTTAAAGTAATTTAAATGTGGATGTATTGATATTAAAAGAAACTTACAGGCGAAATGCCTCATCAGTGGTACAATGGTATGTTTGTGGACTTATACCACTAGAAACCAGGTTCTGATACTTGTGGTGGACAGCGTGATAACCCATTATATAGCTTTGTGCTTAAATACAAACAAAGCTGACAGGCTGAAATACTACGTTAAGATACCAGATTTTATTAACCCACAAGCTTTCTAGCTATTTCAAAAGCTCTTCATCAGGATTACAACATTAACTGAAAAAAACATTTCAAAAAAACAGAAGTAATTTGTATGAAAAAATACACATATTGTTGCTAAGGCATATGTCAACAATATTGAATAGACCTGATAGTTGGTTAAGTCTACTTATCTGGGATAAGTAAATTCACACACTGATGAAACATAAGAAAATGTGATAATAAACATGATTAATACATATACAATTTAAAATAGTATAAAAGGCAATAAGTGAAATGATACTTAGATCTTGAAAGAAGTAATATAGTGTACTTTTTGCATATATGTCTATCACATCATAATTCATTGAACTTTAAATTTTAGAAATTGGACTATAGTTGGAATCCTGTATGGAATTAGTTATGACTCATCTTGTATCTCTATTGATTCCATTTTCTGGACCTCTGTTGTTGTTTTTTATTTGAAGTGTTCCCTTTCCAGGTTTGATTAGATTCTTGATTAAGAAATATGGCATTTTCCTGCTATGTTTTTTATGTGTTCCATGAAGGCTGATGATGTCCAAGGGGGTTGATATTTGCTGGTGTTCCTGAAGTCTAATCTTTAATGGTGTTTTTGTCTCCTCAATTTATTCTTTTTCACATTTACACTTATATTCATATACCACATGTTTCTGCTCATAGGTAGGTACAGAAACGTTTTTAAAATTTATTTATGAGTTCTTCATTTTTTTGAGACAGTTTGAATTTTGTGTTTGCTATAAATGTGGTAGATTTTTGATGAAAACCCTGGTACATATGGTAGAATGGTTGTAGTTAGCTTTTCAATTTGTATCAAAAGAACCAGCCTAACAAAAGAATATTGTTTCAACTGGAGTCAGAAGTGGAATTCTTTTAGCAAAATTAACATGGAACATTGAGTGAACTTTAACTTTGGAGGTGATCTCATGAGGTCATATCAGTGATTTATTGGAGTTAATGAAATATTTAATAGAAATTGGAGAAGAAAGAGATAGAAAATTAAAGTAATGAGACTGAAAATTAAAAAATCAAGCACTAGTGTGAGGTAAGAGGATTAGTTGGACTATCTTGTTACTGCAATCGTTTTATAAAATCATTCTCTGACATAGCTCTTTTTCTCTACAAATTACTTGAAAATCCAAATAAGTTTTTATGGACTGCATATTGTGACCAAACATTCAATAACCTGAAGAAAGAATTGACCAGTACTTTTGTATAAATCCACTCAATTTAGATACAGATACCAGTGAGTTTGTTGTTGGAACAGTTTTATCACAAGTTCAATGTTAAAAAAAGAACATGTGCTTGCCTATTATAGTAAGACAACAAATAGCTGAAAAAGAAGGTATAGGTATTGTACAATTCAGGAAGAGCTACTAATTGTTGTTTGAGGAGTAAATCATTTTTGCCATTATTTATATGGACAGAAATTTAACTAAGGACTGATCCTGTTGCATGTAAGCGGCTAGTGATTTTTTGCAGTCCAGAAGGCCAGATAGCAAGATGGATCCAGAAATACTATTAATACAACTTTAGCATTCCTAAGACCATGTGTTAATGAAGAATGTAAACATTCTGAAAAGAGGGAAGCACAAGATAATAAAGATGGCCAGCTTAAAGTATAACAGAGTTTCAAAATGAGACATCATCAAGTAATGATGATGGACTAATGTGTTCCAACATTCAAATGAAAGCTGCTCAGGCAAAAGTTACAAGTTTGAAAGCAATTACTTAATAAATAAAAAATAATGCAAAAACCCCTCTTGCCAAATTGTCACTCCATTCATCCCGAAACAAAGATTTACTTGGCACAGTGGTGTTCATTATGCTTAAAAATAAGGCTTGTTATGTCATAAATAGGAAGATACCAGTGAACAGAAATAATGACTATAGTTGGCTCTTTCACTGTCATTATGAAGCACTCCATTATCTCCATTACCTTGCAATGTCTGGAAACTGTTGGTGCTAAGATGACACTGGAGAGAGTAAGAGAATGCTTTTATTGAATTGGATCTGTAGAGAATTGGTGTAAATTGTCAATTCTGCTGTGAGCTAGAAGGTCCATGAAATAGCAGTACTGTGTTGGAACAGTACTAGAGAGTTACTCTCAGTGTGCTTGGTCCTTGGCCACAGAGTAACTGTGGGAATAAATACATTATAGTTGTGATGGACTATTTCGTGAAATGGTCAGAAGTAAATGCTGTTCCTAAACAGGAAGCAGAAACTATAGCAAGGAAACTTCTCAACAAATTAATTTCAAGATTTTGCAGAAATGTGTCACATCTTTTAAGACCAGAAAGACTAGGACAACAGTCCTTAATCCACTCTCTTGAAAGCTACAACCATATACTGTTCAGCCAGGTAGCCATTTATGTGGGTGAACATCAGAAAACTATTACTGACGTGTTAACATACAGCAGCATGTGAAGTTAGAGGCAACACCTCATCATCACAAATGTTTGACAGAGAACATAGTGCTATTGGACCTTCTTTACTCTCTTACACTGCAGAGTCTTACACAGAATATGCAAGGAGATTACGGAACAGTAGTTGGATCATACAGCTCATGATAAAATGAAAGTTTGCTATGGTGTTAAGGCTGATAAGATTGAATATAATTGAAATGACATAGTGTGGCTGTACAATCCCACTTATAATACCAAAAACGAGGTATCAATACCTTTGGAGGGCAGAGTAAGGTAACTCTTTGTATAGCTTTGTGCTTAACAATAAAACCAACAAAACTATACAATCCATGCTTAAAGCAGGTGTTGAGAAGGCCATATGTTATATTGAAAAGAATCAATGATGTTGTTTATAGAGGTGCAGGCCATCCAAGCCAAAGAATATCCAATATGATCATCTTTAGAAGTACATTGGTGAAACATTAACCAGCAGGGTAACTCTAGAGAAACACTTGTTAGTGAAAACTCAACCTATTGAAGAGCCTAAGTCTCCTGTTGAGACCACTTCCAGACAATCAGCAATGATAGAGCTATCAGTGGATTCATACGACTACCTGTCTAGAAAGATTTCTCCCAGTGACAGGACAAGAGTCTATCCTATCTGCACACCATGAGTCTCAGAAGAGAAAACCACTAAAAAAAACTTGGTGAACCAACAGTTTAGTGTAATTTTCTATTTTTGTATTAGTAGTACTTTACCATTCAGGAAGGGGGCAGTGTTGTATTCTGTGTTTTAAATTTTTTCTTTGGATATTAGCTAGAGAACATAGTATGTTCATAAATATTAGTGATTGAGAAATTTTATGAAGTATCTGGAAACAAGGCTAAATTATAAATAAGAGAATCAATGACTCATTGAGTCAGTTTTCAGTTGGCAGAACAGTTTTTCAGTGAAGTATTTAATTTCAGTGCAGTAATTAGATCAGTTGTAGTTTTGTGTTCATGCATTTACTCGATTGATTAGCTGTGAAATTGTACAAATAAGTTTATCTATAAATTAGTTATAGTACCATTAATGAAGTATTTTAATGAAACATCATTTTTAAACTTAGGCCTACAAGTTACAACAGTGTACAAGTTATGTTAGCCTCTAGAAATGCTAATCTATAAATAGAGTACTTTCTTATCATTATATGGACTGGAGTTCAGATTACCTTCACCAAATATTTTAAAAGAAGCAATATAATGAAAGAACAATGTTACAATAATATGTTAGTAAGTCTAATCTCTTTTATTAAAAAAAAATTATCTGAGAGACATCTTTTCTCAATGAAAGGTTAAAGATTTTTCAAAATGTGAAATATAAAACTAGATAAATATCTTCCTTTTCTATCAGATATATTAAGTTACAGTTAAACTCCAGAAACTCTTTTAAATCTTAAAACATTCCAGTATTATATTTTGCATTATAAAGTGTGTGTGTGTGTGTGTCTATAAATATATACATATATATATATATGTATATCTTGTAAGGTTTGTTGCATATAATACAGTCTATATATGTCAAACGTTATTTTCAAGAAAATGGTCTCTGATACTTTGTTGACAAGTTACATGTAATAGGTAAGGTATTCACTAGTACATACTTTATCTTTGTCAACTATTTTTTCTTTATTTTAGGGAGAAAAGGGTTATCCAGGAGATGTTGGTGCAGATGGAGCTGTGTATTGGATAGGTCCAGAAATCTGTAATGTTAAAATATTTTCGTGGCCTGATGGCAAAAATGTTGTTCTCAAAGGATCAGTGTCTCAGTCACGAAACCTAGTTATCTGTAACGTCAGTGTAGTCAAAGGATTACAAGGAGATATGGGCTGGAAAGGTTTAAAGGTATGTTATGTCTCCGTTTGTTAATTAATTTTCCGTAACTTCGTTCCGACGAAACTTAAGCGACACAAGTCCTTTCTTAATAAAACTGATTTATTCTTTCCGAATATAACTTTACCGATACACTCAACTTCAACAATCGAGCTAAACAAACGCTGTAACGTCTCTCGTGCTCTCTGACTGCAGTTCAATTACTCAATGTCTACCCAGACATTACATTCCCCTCTTTTATATACCAG